CAAAAAAATACTCTGAAAGACTCCAATGCTAAAAGCTAAGTAAAAAGGAGACAGATTGTATTGGTTTTCATCTCACAATCTTGGGGTCAAATGCAGGAACTTTTTAAACAATTTGAGTTTGTAATAGTGAGAATAATGAAAAGGTGTTTACATTATCAGAACCTAATCAGCAGAATCTGCAAAACTACATCTAAACTCTTTCATTGAAAGTTTTTATTTGGCAGAACAAAGTAATTGTTTGTCTCAACTACAAAAATGCTATTGAGAAGGAAATCAAGCTGGTTTGGAATCTGCAAACTTAGGAATTCTTCTCCTCTGGATTCCATTATATCTGAATCATCGTACTTTTAAAATGGCTACATAATTTGGATTACAGCATTTCTGAAGTTATGTAATGGGCAAGAGTTCTCATGAGAAAAATCCCAATGCCAACTTGCTACTATGTTATGACACTGCTGTCCATAAGAGGTAATTATGAAAAGAAAGATAATCTGCCAATCACAAGGGTTTTCCCATTGATTTTAATATAACATATATTTGCCTTTCTAAAAAAAGGATTTTTTTTCCAAAGGAATTAAGTGTTTGATAATAATTGGTGTGTTTTTTTTCTCCTCTCTAGTGTTCATAATGGCTTCTGGGCTTTTGGTTTACCCTTTCGGTTTCAACTCTGCTACTGTGAAGAGGTTCTGTGAGAATTCAGACATCTACTATGCAGGAGACTGCCAGATTGGATGGGGGTATATGCTGGCAATTGTTGGGGTCATGTTGTCTGTCTTTTTACCATTCTTTGCAAAATATGCACCAAAAGAGCACATATCTCCAACTCCAATACCTACTATTTTATAGTATTTTATTAGTGTTTAAGAACAGAACATTCCTGTCTACAGGCAACGGGCAGAAATTATTATAGCACTTCCGTTTAGCTGCATTGCTAAAGAGAGAAAAAAGGAGATGGGGAAGAGGAGGTCAGACTCACAAAGACCAAAAGTGCATTGATAGTCTTCCGTAAGTATGAGCAGCAAACACTCTGGAATTGAAATAAGATTAATCAGCAGCCTTTATACTGCTCTAAACATATAGTGGCATAATGCCTTAGACAAAAAAAATCTGTTTATCCTCAAAACATCTGTCTACCTCCCAGTTTCTTTTGAGTCTCAAAATCGTAAGTCTTTTAAAAGCTTCAATTCACTTTTTATATATTCTTAGATGTCAAAACTTTTATGAACCCAATAATTTAAAAATCAATAATGATATTTTGTTACAATTATTTTGAGTAGTGAAAAAGCGCCTACTAGTAGCCACGGCCTAAAATTAAGCTCGATATCTAAAAAGAATTGTATACAAGAAAGAAGTTTCTTTTTAATCTATATGTATTTGTACTACCTGCATATTGTAAGTTGTAGGCACACTTTTTAATATGGATCTAATCTTCAAGATTTACAGTCATCTTCATGAAGACTTGCATAAAATTTAGATTACTTTTTTTCAGAGAGAGAGAGAGAGATCCAACTACTTCCAAAGGCTTCATGATGATTTAATAGTTTAACAACAGGAAAAAAAAATGCTAAGAATTTGGTTTTGGTATTTCTTAAATTATAATTTTAGGTGGACTTTTCCAAAATTATTTGAACTATTACAACTTTAGATTTTGGGTTTTGTTGTTTGTTTTTTAAGGCCGAAAAGAAAAATCTCTGTTTACAAAAATGTATGTGCCCGATGGTCCTTGTATGTAGTGATAATACAAGCCAGAATGAACTAGATTCTAATATTTCCATTCCTATTAAGAGCCCATTATTGTAAAAAACAAAAAAAAAAAAAAAGAAAAAAAGTGAAGTGAAATGCTACTGGACATGACGAATAAGAATAATCTGATGCCGTGTCAGAACTAGCAAATGGCCATATTTCATGGGTTTGTATGTGAAATTTGTGAAGCCTGATTTCCACAGTAGCACTGAATTCATTACTATCAAGCATTGAAATAAGTGCACTTGATTGCCTTAAGCAAAAGAAACATTGGGTTGTAATCTCACCGCGCTGTTATGTTTTTCATTTAAAATAAAAATTGAATTCTAATTCTATTCTGATCTTTTATTTTCTATTATTTATTTAAAAAGAAATAATCACATAATTATATTTAATTCAGAGCTGTACGTCTTAGTTTTGTATTTTGGCACAAACCAAGTGATCAAATTTATTATTCTTCACTTAGCTGAGTCCAACTGATTCCTGAATTTAATTTCTTTTTTTTTTTTTAATGGAAAGTGCTCATGAAGGGACAGACAGAGAAATGTTGAGGATGTATAAGAAAATGCAAACAGATAGAACAATCACTGTGTTATTTTAATGTCAAAGACTTCTGCAGCCTTGCTTACATTCCTCACCCTTCTAAACTTCAATGGAACATTGCATTGTTTTCCCAAATAATTGTCTGTTGTTACATTTTCATGGATTCTAAAAGCAAATTCTGTACATAAACTTAGCAAGTTCCATTACTAATCTTTGAAAATACAGATTTCGATGTAGAATTACGTACACTGAGAAACAGAGAGAGAGAGCCCGTGCTATGCATTTTTGCTCACAGTGACTAAGGAATTAAATCTTCCAAATATTTAACAAAATAGGTCGAAGGAACGCCTCTAAAGTAAGAAGAATAAATTTCATTCACTTCTGTATAGAAATGTGCTTTCCAGTAATGTCTTACACTTTTTTTAATGAATGGCTGAAACTGATAATTTTCATGTCAGAGTCAGAAAAGTGAGGAATAACAAACAACATGTAAAAAGAAAATCATCACCGTGAAGTAGAGAGACAGAGATGCAGGCTTTTCTTTCCTAACCAACCTGTGCCTTTACACTAGAACCATTACACAAGACAGGATCGATGTGGTTAAAAAAAACCCAACAAACCGAGCAACAACTGAAAAATGTTGAGTAATGTGTATAAACTGTATTACGTAGGGTTTTTTTCTGTTTTGTGTAACGTTTACGACTGTTCACTTAATGTTTCAGTACAAAAAGTGATTTGTTAGTGTAAGGTAGAGAAGTTTTTTTGCAAAGATCTAAACGCTTACTGAAGGTAAAATTATTTTAGATTTTTATTAACAGCCATAACATACCTAGTAGACACAAATGACCTATTCCTGTCATTACTTATTAACGTAACTTTCACATTTGCAGAACTGGAACCATCAATCATTCAACTGAAATCAGTAGGACTACAACATTTGTGTGATGTTGGTACCACGCACAGATGCTTGCAGGTCTGGTCCCATAGTTCAAGTTTCCTTTGTAGTTTTAACTTACTGTTACAAAGGAGTCTTACAATCTACAACACCGCTGTCCCAGATCCTTTACTTCTTAAAACTCAACTTCTTCTCTTGTGAACATTGCCAAGCTCTATGTCTTGTAATATTCTGCACCTTTTATGAGTTAAGCTAATGCTTCCATTTGGAACTTTCTTTAATATTTTATAATATATAAAGGAAATCAAATATATGTGTGTGACCTCTACAACTGGGTAGACAAAACTCTCCTCAAAACATCCACGCTCAGAACCAGCTTAGCACAGAAGGTAGAGGTGATAATGCAAGTGATTCTTATAACAATTGGTAAAGCATATACCTTAGATCCTCAACTGGAACATTAAGGGAGGTGTTGCTAACAATACATGTGCTAACACTGACAGATCACTTTTTTAAATAAAAACTGTCTGCGCGTTAAACTGTGTAAAAGCGTTTTCCTGTTACAAGTCAAATGATTTACTGGACCAGGTTCAAGTTTTATTCTAAATATATAATTTTTTAAGTGTAACTAAAAGCTGTATTTTCCATTAATGTGTTTCTGCATTGACTAGCTGGCTCCTTTTTAGAATATTAACTGTTTTCTGTATTTGACTTGTTGGATACAATATTTCAATTATTTTAAATGTGAAGTTTCCAATTGCCAACACTGTATAATAAAATAAAAAAAAAAAAAAATCACACTGTTCACTATTTTCTTGACAACTCTTCTGTTTTACAATTCCCACCAGATCTGGCACAAAGCTTTTGAAGTAGGGGAACCAGCGAAGGGGA